CGAAGGTTGATCATTTGGAGCTTCATTACGCGGTACAGCCTCAGAAGACGAAGGCAATAAATGCCTTTGGAACAAACCCACAAACCTCTGATGATCAAGTAAAATCTGACCATCAGATTCCTGCAACTGGTCGAGCTTCCTCTTCATGTTTGTAGCATAGTCATGTGCGAGCCTGTGCAACTGTTTATTCTCATGCTTGTGCCATCTGATCTCCTGTTTGAGACTTATCACTTCAGCCGCCAATGATTCAACTTGGCAGGTTCGAGCAAATAGGCGTTGGGCCATATTAGACACAGAACCTGCACACTGAACACTTAAAGCCAGAGAATCCTTAACAGCCAACTCATCAGATCGTTTGGAAAATAGTCTGTTATCTTTGGGAGTCAGAAGGTTCCTGGCCACCACCGCAGCGGTCATATCATTCTTCATCACAAAGTCCCCAACGGTAAGAGGACCAGTAGGAGAGTAAAAAGGATGGGCGCCATATGTTGTCTTGAGAAGGCATGGCTGCCTCTTCACCAAAGTTCAAGTCAAAACGACGGTCGGATAGGCCAGACATTCTCAGAAATGATGAAGGAGAAATGAGGTGATCTCTGAAGTAAGGAAAAAATTCCTACAAGCAATAACTCTCTGAATGTACTTCTTGCACACAATTGGTGCCCTTATAAAAGAACGGGCAACAAGGCCGTTGGTTCAAAAATCGAAGAGGCATCACTCTCCGGATTTCGAAGAGGCACCACTTTTCACACATAACATCAGCTCCTCGAGTACCACTGATAACTTTGACAAAGATCTCTGACTAAGTTTAGATACATAAATTTTGAAGATCCAGCTACCCTACTATTACCCACAAGGGTAAAGGAACAGCACCACTGCTTGATAACTAAAAAGTCCCAATGTGTGTCAACCTCCGTGCTCCGTAGCAAGGCAGACTGGCAAAAATGCCTAACCTTTACTCACATTCGAGAAAACACTCCCAACAAGATTGCTTGCTCAAAAATCAAAGAGGCACCACTCTCCGAATCTCGAGAGCCAAACTCCCAGCATGATTACTTTCTCAAAAATCGAAGAGACACTGCTCTCCGAATCTCAAGAATCAGACTCCTAACAGGATTGCTTTCTCAAAAATCGAAGAGGCACCGTTCTCTGAATCCCGAGAGCCAGATCCCCGACAGGATTGCTTGTTCGAAAACCAAAGAGGCACCGCTCTCCTAACTTCGAGAGCCAGATTTCCTTAGATAAAGCTTGTGTGCAATCTTCACACGCAACATCAGCTTTCCAGATACCACATACCACTTTTTCAAAGCGCTCTGACAAAGTTAAAACATGTGAAGCTTGCAGCTCCCACTACATTGCTATGACCAAGAAGGGTAAAGGAATAGCATTATTACAGGCACCGCCCTCCAAATCTCAAGAGCCAGACTCCCAACAGGATTACTTTCTCAAAAATCGAAAAGGCATCGCTCTCCGAATCTCAAGAGCCAGACTCCCAACAAGATTGCTTTCTCAAAAGTCTAAGAGGCACCGTTCTCCGAATCTCAAGAGCCAGATCCCCGACAGGATTGCTTGTTCGAAAATCGAAGAAGCATCGCTCTCTAAACTTCGAGAGCCAGATTTCCTTGGATAAAGCTTGTATGCAATCTTCACACGCAACATCAGCTTTCCAGATACCACATACCACTTTTTCAAAGTGCTCTGACAAAGTTAAAACACGTGAAGCTTGCAGCTCCCACTACATTGCTACGACCAAGAAAGGTAAAGGAATAGCATTACTACTTGTTGTTAGGGAGACTCCTATATATGTCGACATCCATCCTCCACGGACAGGCAGGCCTGCAAAAATGCTCAACCTTTCCTCATTTATGAGAGGGCACTCCCAACGAAGCCTCTCGAAATACTCAGCTTTCTTCCCCCCCCCAATAATACCTATGCAAACTAGCCACACCAGAGCAAGAGTATCTCATATCATCAGGGTCAAAAGCAAGAGTATCCCATATCATGCTTTTTCCCTATCTTTTCCTTTGCCCTTGTTCTTACCTGCTAGACAAGGAGAAAGAGAGCAAGCAGTCAGCACTTGGAATCAAGCTTCCAGTCAGGAACTGACTGCCTGGAACCCCTTGCCTGATTACTTACCTGGCATTGCTCTCGAGTACTCATCTTTAACATCTTATGCTTCCGGAAAAGATACCACATCTACCTGAGGAACAGACAGGGCAAGTGAGAAGGATACAAGGAAGCATGTGGAGACAAGCGCAACGGAACACGTGCCGATTCATCTATTACTTCGTCAACAGCAAAAGTATCTCATATCATCAAGGTCGAACGCACTCTTGATTTGATGGACTTGTTTTGACCCTCAAATTCTTGAGTCGGCCTTATACTCTGGAGGAAACCAGAAAACCCTCCAGCCCAGTTCAAGAATAAGCCTGTGGAAAGTTACTTCTTCAAAAGCAAAAGTATCTCATATCATCTCTTCTCCATTTGCTTCTCCTTATCCTTGTTGCTGTTTACGACACAAGGAGAAGGAGAACAATCAACTGAAAGCCGAAGTCGAACCTTCAATCCAGGTTGCTTGCTTGGAAGTCTGATTGCTTACCTTGTCTATTACCTCTTTCGGCAAATCTCCTAGCTCGGCGACTTGGGGGACTCCTACTATAAGGTTTTGTATCGCACTTGACCAAGCCCGAAACTACAAGTAAGCTTCAAGTGAAATTGATACATTACCTTGTGCATCTTCATCGGTTAAAGATACCACCCCTGGATGGAGGAAAAGTACTTCCAGAGAAGATGCCACAGCTACGTATGAGACAGATAAGGCAAGTGAAAATGATACCACACTTCGGTACTTAGAAGTTTCGTGATTACTCAATAGCTTGGATCTTGCAAGTCCCCAACCGAGGAGCTTCCCTCACTCGGGAACTTAGGGGAGCACTGTTTGTACCATACTTGACCAATCCCGAAACTACTGAGCATCGGTCAATGTTATACCGTTATGGACCCAGAAGAGTTTCCCTCCAACCAGGAGGCCAATCACAGCGCAACATGTGTCGACATCAGAAACCAATCATAGCACGACATGTGTCAATATCAGAAGCCAATACACGACACGTGTCAATGTCATGAAACTAGAAACTCTCTTCTATAAATAGAGATCATTCTCTCACAATATTTCTTAATGTCATTTGTACTAAATCATTCACTAGTACTTACTAAAGGAGAGCTTGAACCGATGTACTTGTGTAAACCCTTCACAATTAATGAGAACTCCTCTACTCCGTGGACGTAGCCAATCTGGGTGAACCACGTACATCTTGTGATTGCTTTCCTGTCCCTATCCATTTACATACTTATTCACACTAGTGACCGGAGCAATCTAGTGAAGGTCACAAACTTAACACTTTCTGTTGTACCAAAGTCCTCGCTGATTTTGTGCATCAACACATTCCACTTACAGATCTATCTAACGATGCGTATGATTTTTTATTTTTTTTTAGTCGAGCAATAGCGTTAGTTAGTTAAATGTTAGATTAGCCACCGATGGGTTCGAATCTACGTCTTCATGTAAGGGCACAACACATTTTTACCACTGTAGTAAAAGAACACTTGCAAGTGCGTATAATTTTTTAATTTTAAGAAAAATAAATAAATTCATCTGATCTAACAGTTAAAATATAAAATCCGAAGAATTTGTACCTGGGCTTGTTATTCAAAGGCTCAATTTTACCTTCTTGCAACTACTAATGTAAGCAAAACGCCATAAACAATTTTCAACGACGTGCCACCCAAGTCTGATCTCTCCACGAGTGTAACCGACTGTTCTTCTAATTGATGTGACACAGGATATGACAAAATAAATGTAATTTTTTTTTTCAATAGTCTTGAAGTAATGAGTAGTTTAGGAAATGAATGATGAAGATTGAGTTTAAAACTCAAACAGGGAACATTGTTTAAAAAGTCGAATTACTTAGTAAGCTTAACTATTGAAGTCAAACCCGAATAATGAGCTTTAGAAATACGCACAAGAAATCAACCATATACTATAATATCAGTTGGTATTAAGTAATGTTATTTAGAAATACCAAAATTGACACACTGATACTTTTTAATGCAGGTAGATCCCACTTATAATAGTATAGCCCATTTCTATTAGGGAATGTCAGTAATTATGTTAGTTTTGGACGTCTAAATAGCATTATGATTTTGTAATAGTTTGGAGGCTTGGAGCCTTTAGTACTACTCGTAAATATCATTATCTTTTAAATGTTACGATAAACCAAATTCACTTAGTAATATAATCTAGTAGTATTCATATCGACTTACAAGTGGAACGTCTTAAGTTCGAATTTGAAGTTCGATACCAATTTTGTTATGGTTGACCTTAGACCTAGTTTGGGAGTGAGGTGCTTAAAAAAAAAAGCACCCATGAAAAAAAGCTGTGAGGGTTTTAGGTGTTTGGTAAACTGAAAAAAAAAGGCTTATTTTGGAAGCTGCAGTGAGAATAAGCTGAAATCAAAGGAAAAAGCTGAAGCTGCTATTTGCAGCTTTGGAAAACTGGCTTTTTTTCAAAGCACACGGAGCTACAGTGCTTCTTTAATGAAAAGACCCACTATTAGACTGCTTTTTTTTCCAAAAGCACTTTTACAAAAAAGTTTACCAAACACTATGCTGATTTATTTCACAGCCGCTTATTCTCACAGCACAGTCGTTTATTCTCAAATCAGCTTTTTTTCAAAGCACAGTAATACCAAACCCGCCCTTAGTCCCACTTTCTTACTTTAGTGTAAATATATCATTGTAAAGAAAAAAAAAATATCCTCCACGGTTGCAGAAATTAACTAGACGTTAGTGAACCGTTTTAGCTTCTTGAACTTATATTGACACCATTGGAAAATGTATTTTCAACCTACATCGAAAATTAGAAAACAAAACGTAATCTTGGTTTCTTGCTAGGCAATCTCATATTTTGGTTGTAATCTACTAAAAACTGGAAGTCAAAACAATTGAAGCTAAGACGCAACCATGTCCAAAATTAAGTTAAAAAGAGTTCAAAGTTTTGATACAAAAACACGAGGAAATTTGCGTACAAAATGTCTATTGTCTCAGACTCAGCCATAACATACAATGTAGCATACACTACTTATTCTCGGAACCGCAAGGATATTCAGAAGAGCATAAAATGCAGAGACAACACCATGACATGAAGACAGTGGCACTGCACATACTCATGTGGCTCTTATGAAGACAGTGGCGGAGTTTCAGAGTTCTTCCAAGTACTAAAGTCATCCATATATCTGCCTCCTTTAACCGCATCTGCTGAAGCATAAGATTCAAGCTCAGCCATTTCTTCTGGTGTCAGTTTCACAGATAGAGCTCCAATATTCTGGTTAAAATTCTCAATCTTGGTGGTTCCGGGTATAGGACACACATCATTCCCTTGGTGATGAACCCAGGCCAGTGCTAGCTGAGATGGGGTGCACCCCTTCCTTGCTGCAAGATCACTAACCCGCTCGAATATTGTTTTATTATGCTCTAGGTTCTCCGCTTGGAACCTGGGTAGATACTGCAAACAACAAGCCACATATATACAAGCAACAAGATTAATGACTTTATCAAATGGCATGATAAGCATATTCAGCATAACTTTGTAGCAACACAATACAGATTCCTCGATCGAATGTTGGGCACCAATCCCTTCTTTTCATGGCATTAACTAAAAAATAGCTGAGGATTGTCGTAAAGAAGTAAAGTAAGGCAGGTTGGCCTGATGGCAAACTGTCAATTGCCAAATGGTTAATCTACCTGAGATGAAAACAAAATTGCAAAATTGCAGTAACTTTCATAGAAATAAGGAGAGGCAGATGGGCAACCTGGCTTCAAACTTTGACTCTTCAAATTATAATGGTGTAGGACGTGAATGGCAAAAACAACCATTATAATTTTTTTTAAAGAAAAAATAATCTCATTTGGCCTTATATGCTACTCTAAGAATTTGTTACCTTAAAACATGATTATATTAAGGATGTTTATGCCTCTAACGTCGGAATAAATCAGGTCCACTTGGATACATAAGTTAGAAAATTAAACCTTTACTGCATAAGTTCCACTAGAGGAAGGCTGCTAGGAGCGATTACTAAATTTCGAGAAGTCATTTCCTAACTTGATGACTTAGGGATATATTCACAATAATAGCATGAGGATGCTACAATGTTCTTTAATGTACATGGACTTTTGTACTTCAGAATATATAATTATGAAACATATCAACAAACCTTTCGGAAATCATCATTGGCTAGATTGTCGACGAACTTAGCACCTGATGAAAAGAATCCTCTTCCTAGAGGACTGTATGCAACAATACCAATGCCAAGCTCCCTGAGAAGATAGGAAAATGAGATTAACATTGGCTGCTACCTCCTAAAACAAACTTTAGTTAGTCCTATTAAGCCTCACCGGCAAGTAGGAATTATATCTTCCTCCACATCTCTTGACCACAATGACCACTCCAACTGCACAGCTGTTATTGGATGAACAGCATGCGCTCTTCTTATTGTGGAAGCTGAGGCCTCCGATAGACCAATGTACTTTATCTTACCCTCTTCAACTAGTTTCTTCATTTCCCCAACCTTGCAAAATAGGTGAATCATGATGCACCAGTCTAGTAAGAAACGTGACATAGCTACAGCCGACAGATAATTATACCATGCATTACATAATTAGACTAATTTGGATGCAACAAAGGCACTTAAATAGAGGAGGATAGTGGCCAATCATGTTAAAGGAATGGTGGTTAACTATGAACGCACTTTGCATAATTCAAGATTTAAAGTTTCAAAAGATATGCATCTGGTAGTTATCCCAGGTCCCAACAATAGGATGCAAGCACAATAATCACCATGTTGAATAGCCATCATGTATCAAATAAAGAATTCAAATTTTATGTAGAACAGAGTTCAGACATATGATGAAGATGACACAACGCACACATATGATAAAAGCTAATAACAATCATATACCAGCCCACCTGCCTGCCCCCTCTAATATAATTAAGACCTTTTTAACTTCTTGTAGTTATAATTATTAAGAAGATTTACACAAACCAACATCTAAAGGTTGACATATATTAAGACGAGTTTAAACTTTTGTAACTCCTTTGTCATCACTTAGCATTTTGCAACTATGAGGAGAAATGTAAAGAGAAAATATTACACTCATCAGTGACAACAAGCCACCTCACGTTTGGCGAATTTTCAAGCCGAGCACGTAGGCAAATCAGGTGATATGGAGAACGTATGGCCATTGGGTTTCACATGTGAGACAATTTGCTATGATGCAATAAAGAAAGTTTGAGGTTCCACTATAACCAATTGGCCATATAAGGAATAGCTCAATCACTTTTAAGCTCATGCAAGGTCTCTCCTCCCATCAATGTGGGATTCATTCTCAACACTCAATTTGTTTGTACCATACTTGACCAATCCCGAAACTACTGAGCACCGGTCAACGTTATACCGTCAAGGATCCAGAAGAGTTTTCCTCCAACCAGGAGGCCAATCACAACACGACACGTGTCGACATCAGAAGCTAATCATAGCGCGACACGTGTCAACATCAAAAGCCAATCACAACACGACACGTGTCAATGTCAAAACAAAGCTAGAAACTCTCTTCTATAAAAGGAGATCATTCTCCCACAATATTGCCTAATGTCATTTGTACTAAATCATTCACTAGTACTCACTAAAGGAGAGCTTGAACCTATGTACTTGTGTAAACCCTTCACAATTAATGAGAACTTCTCTACTCCCTACTCCGTGTACGTAGCCAATCTGAATGAACCATGTACATCTTGTGTTTACTTCCCTGTCTTTATCCATTTACATACTTATCCACACTAGTGACCAGAGCATTCTATCGAATGTCACAAACTTAATACTTTCTGTTGTACCAAAGTCCTTACTGATTTTGTGCATCAACACAATTCATTGCAGACAATATAAATATTATACAATTTAGTAACCACATTGATCTATAATTGTAAATAAAAAGAGATAAAAACTTAGAAGGTGAAGAAAACATACTGTGACTTCAATGGGGACACGGGTGTCAACCCGATGCTGATAATAGAGATCAACAGAACCAACGCCAAGGCGTTTCAGGCTACCCTCGATAGCAGCTCTCACATACGCAGGGTCACCTCGAATCTCCCTCTTGTTATCCGCAAAGCTGATACCGAATTTTGTGGCCAATTCAACCTTGTCCCGTACCCCTCCCTTGAGAGCCTGTTCCTCATCAAACCAAACAAAACCCAATTCACTCCATCATCATTCCACTCAATTCAACATCAAACCAAACAAAACCTATAAAGCAATTACATATAAATTCACTACAGGAACAAGAGTAAATCGATTCGAACCCAATTCAATCGACCATTAGTTCATTCCCCCAAAAAACCCAAACACAACCCACAAAGCAAAGTTATATTTTATTCTCTCTCTCTCCTCTCTCTCTCTCCTCTCTCTCTCTCAAGAAGAACAAGAGTGAAGAAGACAAGCCAATTGATGTCATCATCAATCCATTCAGTTCAACAATCCAAACAATTCCAAATCCAAAAAGTTACTAACAAAAACTATCAGAGTGAGTGATTGTGGTTGTGAGGAAAGAAGTAAAACAAAAGTTAACCTTGCCAAGGAGAATTTCGTTGGTGTAGGGGCCGTAGATGTCGGAGGTGTCGAGGAAGGTGACGCCGGTGGCGACGGCATGGTGGAGAGCGATCATGTCTTCATCGGGCTTGGGAGGGCCGTAGAAGGCGGACATGCCCATGCAGCCAAGTCCTTGAGCGGAGACCTCAAGGCCTTGAGAACCCAACTTGATCCTCCTCACTACTCCTGCCATTGCTGGTTAACTGCGGTTGTTCTTGTTTCGGCCTGAATGATTAGATTGCAAAGCGAGGGAGCAGGAGATAGATATACGAAGAAGAGGGGCTGTTTAGTAAAATGAGCGAGCAGTCTGCTAATCTTCTACTCTTCTACTCTTCTGTAATCCTAAGTAAACGTAAGGGCCTGCGTCACACTGATGTTGTTTTTTTAGTCAAACCGTCAAAGGAGAAATTTTATAACAAAGTCCGATCGGACACTGTCCAAGTACCACAGCGTCACCTTTTTGTGTATTTGTCGGAATTTTAGCTTAATGTTTTAATCCAACAACCCTCAAGACGGCAAGGACGCAAGCCAAACTAAATTATTCCACATTGTTTAATACTTCGGACTTCTCTATTATTACAGTTTATTTTTTATTTTAAACAAAAAATTTAACAATTAAAATATCTGAGTAGCCAAAAGGCTTCCGTGGTAAAAAAATTAGAATTTAAATCCTTGTGGTGAAATTCTATATGCTTCAAATTTAAAATTAACATTTATGTCTACTCTTCGTTATCCCCTCAAAAAATACCTAGCAGCGCAAAACAATCAGACCCCAAACAAAGATTACATGCAATCCTCAACAAGGAGGTCCAAGATGAAATTAGGGGATTTAAAAATCACAAAAACAAACTTCTGAAACAAATCTCAGAAACAATTCCTTGGTTTCTGCTCCTCTTTCATGTTTCTGGTTTTTTGTTTTGCTTGATATAAGTGATCGAGCAACAAAGGCGCAAAGACAAAGCGTTTGTTTCATTTAGTGCTAGTCTGGCTTGAGAGACCGAGAATTTTTCTAGTGGTGGATTTTGTCTCGATAAGTCCTACATACGGTGTGCATTTTTATTTGTCCATCAACTTAGCACGATCCTAAAGCTTACAACTCTCATGGAATAGGCATCATTCGTATGGGACAGTTTAATGGAAGCGTGACGCGTCTTTTGCTTCAGTTGGAAACTCATACTGCAGTTCATAATATACTACTAAAAATATCTTTGCTTCACTCAATGGTAAATTTTAGTACACTCCGGATATTTTGAATTCTGGAGCACCGTAAAATTTTCGTCAATTACGTTGTCAGAACTTGTTCGTGTCTCTACTTGATTCATGGTGCAAACTTCAAACAATCTTTCTTCCATTCAAGTTTCAAAAGGAGAGAATGAGCCACTTATGCGTAGGTTAATAGACTTAATATCAACAAAAATGAGACTAAAGTTCATATAGAGAAATGGTATGAATCCGTCTTCATAACTTGGCGTCATCTAAATATGCAACGTTCTCCGTTTCCTTTACGATTTTGAGATGTTTTCAGAATTTGTTATTACAGAAGATTAGCATACATATAGAATGAGAAGTCCAAAACATACATATCTAATTTAGTAACCTTAATCCAGTCACTGCAAAAAAAAAAAAAAAAAAAAAAAAAAGTCCATGCTAAAAAATTGCAATTTGGTCAAATTGTATTTCTCGTGGATCGTATTCCAATGAATCTAAAAGACAAATGGCAGAATATGACCGAAAGGAGACTTCAACAAACTAAAGATGCACTGTATCTCTTAGTCAGAAGTTATTTAGTTGGTTGAAGCCTCTTCTTGGTCATACTACTCTGTTTGTCTTTCAAATCCATTGGAATACCATCATGTAAAACACATTCCGACCAAATTCCAAGGACATCAGTTTGCAGCTATTGGATGTTTTTACACTTCCCACTAGAGCATAAGATCACTTCTAATATTTATGAGCCCATTACTAGAAGGAAATGGAAATTGAAGATCTGAAACGCTAATGAAATCTTGCCCTATCTTCAGTGTATGAATTACGTCAAAGACTTCAGGTTAGCTGACATGTCTATTTTCCCACCTGCTCATCCATAGAAGTCCAAGCTGCTCCAGCAAGTGTTCAAGTTTTACAATTTCATGCAAGAGCGTGATGGAGAATGGAAAATAGACATGTTAGCCAGCCCGAAGTTTTTGGCATAATTCATCCACCTGTGATTGAGCAAGGTCTCTTGGGGGATCTTTAATTTCCATGTCCATATTGTATTGAGCAAATACATATTACTACTGCATACATCACAACTAAAATATCAAGCAAGACTTTTTATCAAACACCTGCTGAATTTTAAAGAACTTTTCCCCCTAGAGGGTAAAGGGTACGCAGTTCTGCATCCAACTGATACTTCCTGCTTTCAGTAGCTGCTTGCCCAAGGAAACCTATTAAAAAAGAAGTCTCATATAAACATAAATCACTTTCTGTACTGTAAATATGTAGAAACGCAAACAGAAATATGCGATGAGCAACTAATGTGTTTAATATGCACACCCAAAAACAAGTTGACCCACATCTGATCTGATATACACCTGGCCTTACACCCTACACCCTAAACATCCCCATATGCTACTACAGCAACCAGTTTATATCTGAACAAAATACCTCTATTACATGACAATTCTCATTGGTCCCAATGATGCTGCAACAAGAAATGCCCAAAATGTCAAACAAAAACAAAGTGATGATTCTTTACTTTTCAAAGAATAAGGTCCTCACCTTTTGCACTTTTCAGTTCCCTGTATTTGATTTTCAGGTTGTGAAACGAAATCTTTGGCGTTACGTGCTACCTCTGCTTCAACTACTGCCTCCAACACAAGGTTTGATCCTTTAACATTTTCTGTCATCACAACCACTGGTTATTATTCCGACATATATATGTGAGACACTGAGATGAAAAGGTAAACTGTTTGCAAATTCTCAGTAAACTCTAAGGGATGTTTAGTAATAAAATGAAACTGGTATATGTGTGTGTGTCAGAACAAAGGTTTGTAGAAATAGTTTAACGTTTATTGTATTTCCAGGAAATATTCCAAGAGTATTCCTATGACATTAGTTTAAGCCCATGGCCCAGCAAATAGCAAATCAATTCCATATGGGGTATCAATTATCATACACAACTAGACTAAATGAAAGAGCAACACCTCTGTTGAAAAGGCATACAAGGGTATAGATAAAAGATGGCTAGGAAGCACAACCATTGATATGAAACCATAATTGTGAAGCACATAAACTCTTGACCTCTATGACTCAATATAATATTGGCAATACAGAAAAGTAAGTAGTTTCATACGAAGGTTTAAGGATATTGTTGTTTCTCTAGATATTGAAATGGGAATTCCACCCCCGGCTGGTACCTATGTTGTGCCCAAATTTGGACAACAAATAAATGATATCAAAATTAAGTTTTATAATCAAGAAGACTGTTACCCTTGCGAATTGGTAGCATCCCAGTGCTTTCAGCAGAAATAGGGAGAACAATGAAAAGACCACTTTCATCATAAAGGTTATCTTTCTCTGCACTGCTCTTCAAAGCACCAGTCTTCACTGTGGATGCAAATTTCTTCCTCCTTGATCTTGGACAATTTTGCACCACAAAACAATTAACACCTTAGGTTAAGGCCAAGAGCCTCACGCGCCCACGATGAGTGGGGGGGGCTTTGGCCGAAGAACCTCCGATGCCAAAGTTAGAATTTAGAGAGAAAAAATGTTTAGAGAATTTTGGGATTTTTGCCAAAGTGTTGGAATTGGCTTTTTGGTGAGAAATGAGAGTATATTTATAGGGATAGGAGGTGGCTAGGGTTTTTTAGGTTTGATTTAGGTTTAATTAGCCAATTTATTTGGCTATTAAACATAAAATGAATGTTTTGGTGGTTTTTTGTATAATTGGCTAATCAATGTCACAAAAAAGGAAAATTATGGTGAAAAAAGAAGGAAATGGCTGGCTCCCTTTGGAGAAGGGATAACCGGCCTTTAGGGTGATTTTTGGGCTTAATTTGATGATGTAATTAGCCTTTAATATATTGATTATATTAATTGGTTGAGGATGTTATGGAATGTTTGAAATAAATGGCTAATTGAATAAGGAAAAAATGAGGTAAAAACATATATGGAATGAAATAGTTTTTGAATTGTTACCCATTTTGGGTACTCCTGACTTGGTTGATGGATGATTCTCCACTGCTCGCGTGTAGGAAACCCGGTATGCCTCGAGGGTATTTTTGTCCTCTTTTGTCCAAAAGTCCACGTGTCGCCTAGTGAATATTTTTGGCTCCACATTCACAGCATCAGATTCAGCCAATTTTGCATATGCAGTTGCTTGACTATGAATATTAGGTGACTCAGAGGTTGTGAAAGTGCTATCCCGTCAAAGTCAGGTACAAAGAATTTATGATGATGCATGATCAAGCATTACGACAATTAGATAGTTTTTATCCCGGTGATTAACAATTCAAAGTACACATGCAATCGATCATAAGTAATTAAATAAAAATCACATATTCATGCTAAGGCTCAAGGCTTCACCCTAGCAAAAGAAAGTAGTAAAAATCCCTATCAAGAAAATGGCGCCGTTGCCGGGGATTATTTAAAATAATTCCTACTAATTGGATTTTCAATTCGTTATTGCTGTTTATACATATCTAAAAATAGAAATATTAATTTTCGTTTTGGTTTTATTTTTCTCAGATTACAACTCTTGGTTAATTATTTTTGTATATATCTTTTTATTTAATTGCTGATTTTGTTTGGTTGGTAAGTTACAATTTGTTTTTTTTTAGCAATGCAACAATGGAATTTGCAGTGCCCCCTGAATTCTTTCTAACACCCGGTGGACCACCTCTTTGGGTGTCATTAGCAGAAAAGGGTTATTATGGATTTAAGCCTACAGTTTGTGCTCTTTGCAACTCAAGGACCCATGATATTTTACAATGTCCTGAGAGGAAATATTTTCCAGATTATGTCCAAGAGTATATATATATGAGAATCGATTCAAAATGGAACTGGAATAATCCCCATTCAGAGTTCTACACTAAAAGTTTGAAAGAGCATCTTGGGCAATATTTCGAGCAGCTTAATGTGCCACAAGAGCTTTCGGTGGAGGACAAGCTCGCTAAATTGTTGGAATTAACTGACTTATACATTGAAATAACAAATGAAGGATTTCAAATTCAAGCAGTAAACCGTGGGAAAAGCTATGATGATCAAGAGGTTGGTGCAGGAACTGAGGAGCCATCTGTCTGTTATTCACGTCCAAAGGAGGAAACAGCCCATGATGACCTTGAAAATTC